AGGTTGAGCTGGTAAGAAAACTGGTATATCCTGTGATAGTGGGACACAACTTTCCCAGATTCTGGAAGAAGGAGGCCAGACATGTAGAACAGACCAACATTTCAAGGGCATTATTGTAAATATCCCAGATGATGATGTATGCAGTATTGAGTATGATGAAGCGTCTGCTTCCCCAACCTAAAGTGAAAAGATTGCTAGTGCATTATTGTCACTCAGGTGTTACAATCACCTATGGCCATAGGTGGCACCTAAGCATGTAGACTGCCACTAAACATTTGTGAAAGAATAGGTCACTCTCAGGAGCTCAGTGAATTCAAGTGTGGTACCAGGATAGGTTGCCACCTGTGAAATAAGTCCATCTGTGAAATTTCCTTGCTACTAAATATTCCACAGTCAACTGTTAGTGGTATTATAAACGGAATAGAAGCATTTCAGCAACAAAAAAAATGGCAAAGCAGGGTCAGTGCATGCTGAAGTGCACAGTATGCAGATGTTGCCAACTGTTTGCAGAGTCAATAGCTAAAGACCTCCAAAATTCATGTGGCCTCCAGATTAGTACAACAGTGCATAGCTAGCTTCATGGAATGGGATTCCATGGCCGAGCTGCATCCAAGCCTTACATCGCCAAGTGCAAAACATCAGACTCCGTGGTGTAAAGCGCGCCACCACTGGACTCTAGAGCAGTGGAGATGTGTTCTCTGGAGTGACAAATCACACTTCTCTTTTTGACAATCTGATAGACATGTCTGGGTTTGGCGCTTGCTAGGAAAAACCGTACTTGCCTGACTGCATTCTGCCAAATGTAAAGTTTGGTGAAGGGGGGATTATGGTGTCCCACCTGCCAGATAACCACCCTAGGATCACATTTTCACAGCTTCATGGGTCCCATACCACTTGAACTTCAGTTTGAACCTAGAATAATGAATTTGGTAGGCCCATTGGTAAAAATCCAACTGATGTTACCAACACATATTGCTGATCCTTAATTATGCCACACAATGCCCTGAATTATACCTTAATTTCACAAGTTTACTAGAACTGGTTTAGATTTCATATTAGGTAGTTGAGCACATCATTCTATCATCCTCAGATGGACGGCCTGGTTGAACACATCAACAAACCCTAAAAAAGTCATGCCTAAGTGGATGGTATAAAACAAAATGACAAAGATTGGGAGTGCCATATTGCCAGCATTCCTGTTTGCCATACACAAGGTGCTTCAGGCCTCACACAGGGTTTCCACCCTTTGAATTGGTGTATGAATGGATGACCCTGGGAATGGATTGACCTAGTGAAACAAGAATAGGAGAGTGAGACAACCCCTCAAGCATGTTCTTTACCACTAATCTTACTAGGTATTTACTTCTACCCTAATCTATTGATAAGATCAGAAATATTTATATTGTTTTACTTGAAATAAAAAAAAAAAAATCAGACAATGCAGGCAGAAAATGTAGCATTAGTACCCTCTGTTAAAAGTAATGTAGCAAACCTCAAGCAGGAAGGCACCATCCAGCAGGCAGTGATTTGCCATCAACCACAGCAATCAATCCAAAGTCAGCTTAGCGCCAAATAAAATTATTGGTTTGATCAGACACAATAGAGTTTATTGGATTTTATTTGAAGATTGGATGAAATTTATTTTGAATAGATGAACTGAGCAAAGTACAGTGTATGGCTACATAAGTAGCAAGGATGCAGACTGGAGGGAAGGGGTTACAAAACAGGATAAACCTTTTTCTTCATCCACTATGGCCATTTCACAGAGCCTGGATATGGACATATGATATAGACAGCTGCTTGACTACAGGATTCTTCATTTAATCGTATGGCCCATGAGCCGGAAGCCTCGCACGGCCAAGTATGAGATTTGCGTTATGGGAAAGCGGACTGGAAATGAGAAAGATGTTCCGTCAGATAATTGTATGGTGATCTTGTCTTTCTCAAATTTGAAGCAAACCTGTAAGAAAAGAGGCAGCACAGTGTCAGCTTGCTGGACTATAGAAAAAAGTCAGAGTGTTGGCCATAGAGAAAGATTTTACCAGCAAACCATACATTTCAGCAAAAATAATTCTATAAGATGATATGCGCATGTATCTTATCTTATGTATTATTTATGTGTTGTAGAAAATTGTTAGTTGAAAGTAAAAAAATGTAAAGGATGTGTGTAACGGAACCGAAACCCGACCACTCTTGGGTATCTTCTGTTATACTGCAGCTTCCCTGTCCGAACACAAAATCCACGGACCACACCCTGGAAATCCCTCAGGAATAGACAGCACCCAGCTCTTCTTAAAACAGGAAGCCAACTCTTTTATTTCTACACAAAACACAAGTTATATACACAGGGAGGGGAAACACAATCAGGAACAGGAAACACATCATCAGCCCGTCCCATCAGTGGGAAGGGCTACAGTATAGGCAGGAAACACATCATCACCCCTCCCCATCCAACCAAGACACAGAACAATGGGATAGCACTTGGCAAGGACAATAGACAGCCATGTGGCCGAGACAAAGGAATAACCACATGGCGGTACAATAGGCAACCACATGGCAGGGACAAAGGACCACACACCAATACACAATACTCGGACATTCACACCCTGTACCCCTAAACAGGCAGAGGGTGGGATAAACATAATGGGGGTAACAGAAGCTGACACAGAGGTCCCCCCACCCCCAAAAGTCATTCCCGTCACATAGTGCTTCTGCGCAGCAATGTTTTAGTGACAGGGTCTCTAGACAATATCTGTTACACAGAACAATGGCTGGAGCTCTCAGGAGATCGATAGCTGTTGGCCAGTCGAATCCTGGTATGCCAATCAGCCTCACCCAGGCAAGACATGTGCAGTCCATTTTATTCCAAAATGAAATTCAGACTAATTTTTCATCATTTTAAAATTCATATCCGAATTTCCAAATTACAATAGTAATGAATCAGAAATTACAGAACTTAGCCAAAATTAAAAAATGAAATTGAATTAAAAAATAGAATAGAGTAAAACAAAATATAGGAAAGTTTAAAAAAAAACAGAATACAAAAATTGATTCTAATTTATTTTCTTCAAAATTTGAAAGATGATTATATTCTAATAGAAAAAAATAGAATATAACTATGTTAAATGTGAAATTCAGATTTCAAAAAGAATAAAATTTGATTCAACATTTCCAAATTTGGTCGAAATGAAAAACACATTTTTAAGAGAAATGTAACAGATCAAAACCATTTCTTCATTATACACATGTCTACCCTAGGGTTCCTTGAGCTGTGGCTGATTAACCTCCCATTTGAGGGTCCCTGCTGTTTTTGGGTCCCAACACAACTTGGCAGGGCCAGCTTTATGACACCAATGATCTTTCGCTGCATGCAAGAGTGGCAGTTGGACCACCAGTGGCATTCTTACTACTAGCCACCAATTAATTGATTTTAGAAGGTGTTCCCAAAGACATGAAAATTTATAAGGGTTCCTCTAGGGCAAAAAGGAGGAGAAAGGCTGTTGTATACCATGCCAGCTGCGCAGGAGTGCCGTGACTGGACTGTGCATTAAGTCTCTGAAATTTGACAGAATCTTAGGCAGTAGGGCTTAACATTTGATGTGTGTATAACTATGGGATTGTTATGCCTCTCAGTTGTTATTTTCAATAATACTGTCTTTGTCCATTATCTGCAGATCACCATGAACATACTATATCTGCAAAATATCCAATTCTTGCACCTTTCTGTACTTAAGCAATCCCAGGGTCCCATATACACATCTCTCCTGACAAGGACCCCAATTGCCATCGTCCCAGCCACAGCTCCAATTCATGTGTGTCCTTGACAGGGGTCCCATCTACCATGACTGATTTGGGGTAAAATGAGAATACAAATTATTCTGGGTCAGTTATTTCTTGTTCTACCCCATATCTGTTACTAAAGTCAAACTTTTTTTTTTTAAACACCAGGTCATACTGACCTGCTCTGTGCAGTGATACTGCAGAGCACTCCCAACCCTCTTTGGTTCCTTGGCGACACTACTGGTTCCTTTGTGTGCCCAGAGCAAGTCATTTGCTATAGAGGCACACAGTGTATTCTCGTTCCCAAGCTGTGAGTCTATGGAGCCACACTCCATAGACTTCCACAGCGGGACTTAGTGCGCCCCCCTCCTCCCTACATTTGATTGATAGCATCAAGAGCCAATGGGTCCTGCTGCTGCTCAAGTACTGTGTAAAAAGAAAGATAAGGGAAGGGATGCAGCTGTGAACAGTGCTGGTTATATTCTCCCCTCTTTTCCCTTCCACACAGAGGGGGTAGAGAAGTGAATTTTGTTTACCTTAATGCAAGGAAAGCATGTAGGCAATAAAGGTTTTTTTGGCTTTATCACCAAGCCCTCCCCCCCCCAGAGATTAATTTAGATGAACAGAGCACTCATCAGCAGTAATATCCATTTCCCGTATTCCTCTCCCTAGTACACACATTGGACCCTTCCTTGTATCCCTTTCCCAGCACTCACATTGATCCTTTCCCTGTATTCCACCCTGGAACCCATATTGGTATAACCTCTGTATCCTTTCCTCCATCACACACACTGGTCCCTCCATAAAAGTTGTAACATTATGCTGATGAGCTTCAGTTCCTGGCCAGCCCTCCCACCATATTGGATTTCCTGATCCTTATTCCCTCTTATCTTACAAGCATAAGATTTTCAATAACTCAAGCATACACAAAATAGAAATGACAGTTCTGACAACCAGTGATCTGACCAACAGTAACCATTTGCTGGGCAGTATATCATAGCATACAATGGCAGTATGATGCAATCCATTGGATCTTTCTAAATGGAAGGATCTCATCTTTCATGGAATGAGCAACCATTATAGCGAATACATGCAGACACATTAAGCCATCGCTGACCGCTTGCTGCATCTTTCGGAGATTGATATCATGTGTCCAATATGAGCAGTGTTGTCACTTTACCCCATCCAACATTGGTCCTGCCCTCCCAACTTAGACGTACCTTGATGTCTGACCCGTCCTCAAAGGGGAAGAAGCTTTCCCTCTTCTCTGCTCCCCAGACGCTGTCCTGCTTAGAGTTCAAGATGATCTTTTGCTTGTCTCCATTTGCATCAAATCGAGGATTAAAGTGTAGCACTAAATTCTTCTGATCTATTCCCATGTTTATGGAAAACCTAGCAAGACAAACAGCAATTTTGCTCAGATATAGTACTTCAGTAATTCACCAGTGGTACTCCCATGAGTCTCAGTGCTATTTCTGCAACCTTTAATGATAATTCATAAAAACAAATCATACACAAGGTATATCAGCTAATATTTTTGGAGACTTAAAACAAACAGTTTGCTTCAAAAACCTTTAGACAAAAATGAGGTCCTGGTAATATCTCATCCACATCAAAAAATGCCCAAAATGATCCTGATATGGATATATGTTATATGATTTGCATATCCATAACACGCAGTAAGATTTAACCAGTTGCTGTTTACCCTACAGCAGTTTTACTGCTACAGTGTGGACTCCCTGCGAACACGCACACACGTTTCCGAGCCAGAGGTGCACATGTGCCTGCCTGTACTGTGATTTGGTAAAGCACTGATCAGTCACCAGATCCAGACCAATGATTTTTGTCCTGGACCTGCTGATTGGTTGAACAAAATTCATTGTGTGCCTGCATTTACAGATCACAGGAAATGATGCAATCTTCTCCCCTGGAGTCCTTTATTTCCAGAGAGAAGAGAACATCTAAGTAAAAGCAGCAGAAACATAGCTACTTACATTCAACCCCTGATCGCCCCCAGTTAACCCTTTCACTACCATGTCACCTGTAAACAGAATTGTTTTGTTTTACTAATCAATGTATTAATGTCATGGAGGACTTCAGATCGCATCAGATTGCCTGACACTACATTACCACCACATTTAACCCTTTGATTGTCAGGAACACTCAATATACTATAAAACTTCCATTGCTAGTATAGTGTGAATGATCTTTGATCAGATCACAACTATACCAGCATCTACAATATAACATCTCCAAAAACACAGCGTTAGCAGGATCGGCCCTGACACCTGCCAGCACCTTGTTTAGCCCCTCCGCTCCCTCCCCCCAGCAAGTGTAGTATCAGTAGATCACTTGTGTTAAAATAAAATGGTGCAGCGCTGAATACTAGAGCACAGTTTATACACACAATATATATACACATGCGTGATATCACTCTAGGGGTGATCCATGAATATAAAAGTTCTATGTAATAGTGCGGATCACAGGATCCTAATTCAAGGTGAGTGGACGTCTTGATCCAAGGTGTGATGATAGGTGTGTTCACACAAATAGGTGAAAAACGCACTCACCAGATGTGCGTTTAATACACGCAATATGTAATCCTGCGTCACCAGGCCATGAAACGATCATCAGATCCCAGATCAGATTGTACCCCGCAGATTACCATCCCGGCTCCGCGGTTGGTTGGTAATGGGGTACATAGAAGGATTTAATCCTTCTATGTACCCCATCAACCAACCCTGAATAAAGGCATCTAAAGCAGTATCACGCTATGAGGTCTCTTATTGGGCACTCTGTAGAGTGCCATCATTCGCAGTGCCCATTTGGAGGATTCAGGACCCTGGTGGTGATACCTGGTAACGGTTTCGGATGACCTTGCTTCCGCGGAGCCGGGGATGGTAATCTGGGTACAATCTGATCTGGGATCTGATGATCGTTTCAGGCCTGGTGACGCAGGATTACATATTGCGTGTATTAAACGCACATCTGGTGAGTGCGTTTTTTTCACCTATTTTGTGTGAACACACCTATCATCACACCTTGGATCAGGACGTCCACTCACCTTGAATTAGGATCCTGTATGATCCGCACTATTAGAACTTTTATATTCATGGATCACCCCTAGAGTGATATCACGCATGTGTATATATATTGTGTGTATAAACTGTGCTCTAGTATTCAGCGCTGCACCATTTTATTTTAACACATATGTTTGATTGGAGGTTTTATTTGGTTACCTTTTCGGTGTATCAGCTGCTCAATTATATTGTCTGTGTATACGCTTTTGTGTACACACATTTATACATTTTTTGCAAGTTGCGCTCACTTTAACAGTAGATCACTGTCACTATATACATTACATGCAAAACTGCAGATTAGCAGGAGTAGGCATTTTGTAGGGGTTCAAGCAGTCACAACAGCCAGGTGCTCTTTCCCCCACAGTTGCACTAGGTACCTATAAATTTAAGGGCCAAAATGTTCAAAGACAGGTACTCTAGTGAATGAGGTCTACAAGATTCTGAGTATGTCGGATGAGAGCGAAGGGGAAGCCTCACTGACAGAATCAGGCTTAGAATATGAACCTGTACAGAGCAACGGCACCCTGACAGATAACTCAGATGATGAAGAGGTCCCTGCTAAGGTCAGGCATACCCAACCCCATGCCCGGTTGCTGAGGGGTTAGAATTGCATGATGATTCTCATAAGAGTGCTAGTGCTGCTCTACTTTTTGGTGAACCACCAGCAGCCTAGTACATCCTGGTCTTTTACACACCAGACCTGCAGTATCACTTGGTGACGTGGCAAGTCCCACAAGTTCAGTACAAGCTGGTGTGGTGGCAAGAACACGTAGTGTCCCAAAGCCACCAAGAATTCAAACAGGCCTGTAGAGCCCATAGTGTCCTTACAGATGTGCCTGCAAATCCTGATTGGCAGCCCACAAGTTCTGTGGCACCTGTACTTCTCCCATTCACTGCCCAACCCAGAATTCAGATGGAAAGACAGCAATTTTATCTAGTCCCGTTGATTTTTTGGAGCAGTTTTTTAGGGAAGATCTGTATGGAATGATTGCAGACCAAAGCAATTTATATGCACAATGTATTGCCACCAACTCGAATTCAAAATTTTCTAGACAATTTCCATGGAAACCTATTACGGTTTGCAAGTTTAGAATTTTTTGTGGCCTAACCCTCAACATGGGTATTACTAAAAAGAATGAGTCACAGTCATATTGGTCCATAGACCCAATTCATCATATACACATGTTCTCTGCTGCTACGGCCAGGCCTAGATATGAGAATATGTGAATTAGAAATTTCAATGGCCATACACAGTCATCCTCGGGTTGACCCTGAATATGATAGGCTCCACAAAATTCGGCCCCTCAAAGTCACCTTACCCAGAAATTTGCTGATGTATATATGCCCCAACAAAATCTGCATTGATGAGTCCCTCATTAATTTTCCTGGCCGCCTTGAATTCAAAACAGTTTCTCCCCAGCAAGCATGCCAGATCTGGGGTAAAGATGTATAAAGCTCTGTCAGGGCAACAGGCTATACATGTAGGTTTTGAATTTACAAGGGAAAATAGTCATGTGGAGCCCCCTGGATGCCCAATCTATATGGGGAGCAGTGGCATGATAGTGGGACTTGTTATAGTGTCACCTTTTTCCTTATGGGGTACCAATTCTATGTGGGCAATTTGTATACAAGCATGCCACTATTTACACACATTTTTGATCTTGGAATTGGCTCATGTGGTACTGTGTGACCCAGTCGTCAGGGCTTCCCCAATGGTTTGTAAATACCCAACTTGGAAAGAAGTTTGCTTGAGAAATAATTAATTTCTTGTAGTGAAGTGGACAGACAAACGTGATGTTTTTGTGCAGTCTTCAATTCACACAGACTACAGTCCAAATTTGCACAGCAACTGGTGTTGAGAAGCCCCTCTGTGTCCACAACTATAACCTTAACATGGGAGGGGTGGACTTAAATGACCAGATGATGAAACTGTACTTGGTTTCCTGTATTCCTGAATTAGATGCAACACCTGCTTTTTTGTCCCTCCTGTCCTTTCCAACCTGTTTTCTGCCACAAGGATTGCTTTCGTCGATGCCACACATTAGTGGAGTATTAGAATAGGGTATAGCACAGCACAGTTTAGAGTACACATCTGGAAATGTTATTTGTAACTTTAAAAAAAAACTGTAAGAACATGATGGCCTGAGGTGGATCCCTCCTATGCTTCAGGATATATTTCTCTTTTTTTGGCAGAGATTTCTTCATCCACATCAATCAGTGTGAATGGAGGAATCTGTTAGGCTTTTTTGTTCAGCTCATGGGCTGAATGAAAAAATTTCAGGTATGCCCAATATTAGAAGTGGGTGGATGCAGGGTGGTATATTCTAATGGTGGGCATACCACACGCTTTCTGGATAATATATATATCCCTCCAAACAAGGACCAGTGGCAATACTGGTACATCGCTATATTTTTGAGTCATTATACCAGGATTATGCCAGAGTCAATAGACCCCAGATTTCTCAGAAAAGAGTGCCTGTCACTGCCTATTACCATCACAGGTGATATTTACATTCCCTGTGATAACAAGGGGTAGGTTTGTACTATTCTGGCATTTCAAGGCCTCCAAAACAGATAGGTAGTCAGGAAGTCTAGAGGAAATAAAGCCCTTTAAAAGGTGCTTATTGGATTTTGGGGACACTATTTTGGGGTGTTATTCCACATATACCCAACGGCATGTGTAAGCAATACATCATTTAACTTTGTGGGGGGGGGGGATTTAAAAAAAGGGGGGAGGAGGGGTGATAGAAAAGAGAAAAGGGGGGAGTGGATAAGGGATAGCGTTACATTTCGCCACAGTGCCTGCAGCTATACAGGTTAGTAGGGTCCAGGAAGAGAAAAGAATGTATGTTAGTTGTCCCATTTCATGTGATGGCTTTTAAGTTCAGGCAAGTTTTATCCAGTTTGACATTTTCCAACAATGTCAAAGCACAAATGTTTGAGCAAAACAATCTCATGTCAGGTATGTGAACCACACATGCCAAATTCCCAGTGAGGAGGGGTCAGTAGGATGTACTGTTCACAGAGCACACTTCTACTTTTGGAAAAAATTAATGGATATGGGCTCTTCACAAAGTTGCCACAATTTTTTAACTCCCATAAAGTGCAAACCTTTTTGAACACCCCTCATACACAGAGCAGACTTATATGTATAATTAATAGCCGAGGCTAGAACCATGACTTACTGTTTACAACCTGTTGGAATGAAGCCCGTCATCTCCACAGACTGACCAGATCTGAGGAAGAAGTCATTCAAGGCAAGAGTCTGTATGGGAGAAAATAAGATAATTATTACACAC